CTTTCCCTAAATTTGAAACTCAAAGCATTTCTTTACCTTATAAATATTTCATAGGAGTAGGGGTGTGAACGAGCCAAACAAGAGTAAGTTCGGGCTTAGTTCGTGTTCAACTTGTTAAAAAATACCACAGTTCGTATTCAACTCTTTTATATTTTGAACACAAAAAAGTTGTTTGTGTTCGACTTGTTTGCTTAGCGAGCCAAACACGAGCTGTATGTGTTCAATTAAATAACCACTATTTTAATTGAGAGTATTATTAGGAAATACTTTCCCAAGATGTAATTAAATAAATAGGCTTGCCTCTTTAGAGATATCATACCTCAAAATTAAAATAAAACTTGTTCTTTTAGAACATAAGACAAACTTCTGGTTCGTTATCCCAACAAAATAGTAAAACAATCATTTAGATATTGGATTCATCGCAGGGTAGTATTTTCATCTCTTAGGATGATATTTTTAATATTCATTGAAGACATATTCAATTACAAGTAAGAAATTTCAAAACTCTTGTGTGATCTCCGACAATGCATACAACAATAAAATATAATATCAAGTTAATTACAAAAGCATATCGATCAACAAAAGGTACACCAACATTAATTTAATTACTATCACATTTCAATATTTCATGAAATATATTTATTTTGTTGACACAACAATCATTCATCACTATCATCAATAAGTGTTGTTAAGCCTACATCAATATTAACACTAATCATTACACAGGAGTTTTTCAATATTCATATTTTATTTTCCAAATTAAATACCACTCAAAAAAGGTTACATACTTTTAAAACAACACTAGATAGGAATACATTGTTATATTATTAATGGTACTAAACAAATTCAACAACTTAATCATCACCACCAAAATATCTTTATCTCAACCAATTCTATTCGCACTGTTGTCATAGCAAGGAATTGTGGTTTTCTAGTAGTTGTGTGACTGTGTCATGGAGGTTGGACTAAAGGTGGTCCCAAACATATGAGTAGAGGTGTGAACGAGCCAAACAAGAGTAAGTCCGGGCTTAGTTCGTGTTCAACTTGTTAAAAAATACCACAGTTCGTATTCAACTCTTTTAAATTTTGAACACAAAAAAGTTGTTTGTGTTCGACTTGTTTGCTTAGCGAGCCAAACACGAGCTGTATGTGTTCAATTAAATAACCACTCTTTTAATTGAGAGTATTATTATGAAATACTTTCCCAAGATGTAATTAAATAAATAGGCTTGTCTCTTTAGAGATATCATACCTCAAAATTAAAATAAAACTTGTTCTTTTAGAACATAAGACAAACTTCTGGTTCGTTATCCCAACAAAATAG